ACTTCGAATAAAGATCTCCAGGCTGCTGAGGGAGGGTCTGGGTCCGGGCTCACCCACCCCTATTGCTGAGTTTTTTGTGTTAATATCACAGTTTACTTAATTAGGCTATAATCAAATGATGACTTATTGCTTTCAGAAAGATTTAGAAAAGGTGTGTGTGTGTGTGTGTGTGTGAAGGGGGAGCTGGGGAGGAGAGCCAGGGACTTGCCCCTCCCTACACCCTACAGAGGAAGACGACCTCCGCTGAGAATAGCCCCAGAAGGAGAATAAGGCTTCCTCCACCACCAGCACCAAGGCTCACCTCTGCTAATAATCTCAATCCTCTTCTCTTCCCTCTCCCATAACCTGTCAGCTGTACTCCAATGCCCCAGCGCCTGGGTGGGCAGGCGAATTTGATTGTACTTTGGCTTTGGGGCATTTTAATTGGCTTCAAGTTTCTGAACTGTGTTGCCCCCCCTTAGTTGTAGTCTGCTCAGATCCCCATAAAAAGGGGTTAGAAGCATAGAATCAGAAAAGGAAGCTCAAAGGAGCCTGGGGTGGGAATAGAACCCAAGACCCCAGGGACACCAAGATGGAATTCGTCTCCCTACCGGCCACCAAGACATTAACTTACAATAATAGATTTTAGCTTACTCTAGGGACAGGGACAGGAAATGACTCGCCCTTCCCCCAACCAGAAAAAGACAGACACTCGACAAGGGAAGCCACTCTTCTGCAAGTGGCCACCTGCCCCGAAGGGCCCCTTCCCTCCACTCCATCCAGCACATCTGTGCTCCCTCCCCAGTGCCCTTGCTTCCTTCACTGACTGGGGCTTGTCCTTGGGAAGAACAATCACCATCACAGCTGAGCGGTGGAGCCGTAAGCCCAGCCACATGTCCGGGATCCGTTCTCCAGCCTTGTCAGCTGTCCGGATCTGTGAGGTGGCCCCAGACTCCTTGGAGCCAAGAATATCCCGCCTCTTACATCATAGAGCACCCCACACCTCCTGTGCAGGAAGGGGACCCTTAAAATTAGCGTCCCCCCACCTCAAAGCCCTGTTATAACAATGAGCACTAGTCCTGGCCCCTTGTCTCTGCAGAGGGGGCCCCTGACAAGCAGGTTTGCCTAGCCATTCACGGCTCTGCCCTGGCCCCTAGCTTGGTCTGAAAGGGTCTTCATCACCTTCTCTAGCTCTTTGGAAGATAGGGAATATACTCCAGTGAGTCACTGCTTTTCCCTCTGTCAAGGAGTTCCAGGTTAACCAGAAGATGGAACCTCCTCCACTCTGGCCAGTCCCTCCCTTAGAAGCCTGTCCTGTCTGATAGTAATACATTTTCAACTACAGCCTCAAACCCAGAGGCTTGGGCGGGAATTCTCCCCAGGTTGTCAACCCAAGGGAACTTCCATCTCAGTAGGGGACATACACTAGGGATTCAGAACCAAATTAAATGAGATGATTTTTTTTAAAAGCTTTGCCCACTAACATTTTTTTTTTGGAGAGGTTTTTGCTATAGGGCGCGTGCGCTCGCCAGAGACAGAGAGAGACAGACACAGAGAGCAAGAAATCAACCCCCAGGGGGGATGGCCACGCCACAATCCCTTCTCCTCCATTCTCCTCTCGTGGTTTTGGCCACGCACGCACAAGCGCCTGGCGTGAGTTTAAGCCACCGGGTCCGGGACTCGAATCGCCGTCGACTACATGGGAGCCCAGCGACATAGCCATTACACTAACTGCTGGTCCCGATGCCCACTAACTTTCAAAATTTAACTATTTATTTATTTATTTTAATTTGGCCAGAGAGAGAGAGAGACAAAGCGAAAGAGAGAGGGGGAAAGTGAGAAAATAAGCCAACGGGTCTGTGACTCGAGCCACGGCCTGCCATGTGGGAGTCCAGCGCCCTTAGCTACCTCGCCACCTGCTGGAAACAAGATGACCCTTAGGAACACTGAATTTCTCTGTGTAAAAAGGAGGGCTCTTTCCTAGGGTAGCCTTTGTGCCAACACCTGGGCCTTACCTAAAGGGATGGCCCAAGGAAGCATAAATGCTTGTGGGGGCCCCAAAGTGGAAGATGCCACACCAAGGGGCATCAGAAACTGAAGTCTGCACTTGTGATCCGAAAGTATGAAATCCCAGAGCAACATGCCTCAAGGGCCATTTGGGAAGGTAGTTGGCGGATTTATTTCCTCCTTTCGTTTTTTAAAATCACCGACTTTCAAATTTTGTTCTGAAAAACTGCTTTTGTTTGCTACTCAAAAAGGTCAGCCAGGGACCAGCAGTTAGCGTAATAATGGCGGACTCCCACGTAGTCGACCGCTGTTCGCATCCCGGACTGGGTGGCTTAAAACTGACGCCAGGCGCGTGTGCGTGAGTGCCCAAGATCCCAAGAGGAGTACGGAGAAGGAATTGCTGTGTGGCCATCCCCCCCCCCCCCCCCCCCCCCCGCCCGCACTCGAGCGTTCTCTTTCCCCCCCCCCGGGGATGATTTCTTGCTTTCTAGCTCTATCTCTGGCGAGCACACGGGCCCTATAGCAAAAACCTCTCAAAAAAACAAAAACAAAAAACAAAAAACAAAAAAGGTCAGCCAAACCTCTGGACCCTGATGCCAGTCTTACCAGGGGTAGGGGTGAGGGGTATGACCTGGGTAGAGGGTAAATTTCCAATGATCCACACCTCCCAGCAATTCTGGAAGGATGCAAACAAAAATGGCACCTGCAGGCACGAATGCCCACTGGTCCCCAGCCTCTGCCCTGCTTTAGCCTAGACTTGTTCTATATTCCATCCTTCAGAGTCAGCCCCAACCAAAGTTCCAGTGAGACAATTCATCGTAATCTAGAAAAAGTCATAGAGATGGGCAAGAGCGTTAAAGGCAGAAGGGCATTAACACCCCACAAAAAGGGAAATGACTTCTGAGTTCAAAGCATAAAATGAAAGTTAACCAACAGATGGTCTCCCTCACCCTAGCTGACCAATATTTGTCCATCAAGAGTTCAGAAATCTACTACCAAAATGCCCCCCACCTGCCCTGCCTCCCAGAGCTCAGATGGTGAGTGTCCATTCTGCCCACCATGTTAGTCTGCCTGGAGCTTGGCCGCCTGTGAGGCCCTCCCCAAGGGATGTTAAGAGGAAAACGCGGGTTCACACTGGACATCTCTGCAATTTCTTTTTCGCCCTTTGGGAAAGAGCAATGGCAACCCCATCTTTCTTAGTGTGCCCCACACCAGCCCCTAAAAAGTAGAGAAATAAGCTGAAAATGTCAGATACTTAGGCTCCACTTGTGGGAAGATCCAGAGAATTCTAAACATTGTGAAATCCACCAGTACAATATTGGGTAGGATTGGGTAGGCCCTCAGGCCAGACCAAGCTTATTAAGAGATTGATAAACCTACATTTCTCAACTGCTCTGGGTTTTTACCTTCCAGCTTCATATTCCCAGGGACTTGTCAGAAGGTGAGCACCTTGGTGGGTTAACCAGACAAATGCTTGCTCTGGCCCCTCCAATGTGTCTGGCCTCTCCGCAAACGGGAGAGAATCACGCCACTCATTTGGAGGCTGGAAAGAGGGGTTGCCTTGCAACCCCTCTGGAGGCCCACTGAATCTACACCTTTCCTTCCAGCTCTAACCACACGCTGGAGGGATCCGGGAGCCTCCCTGCGCCAGAAGGCAGCCTCCTGTCCTCACCCAGGTCTAGCAATATGGATGCCCATCCAGCAGCTGGTGGAAAGAATCAGCCAGCCGCTCTCCCCTCCGCCCACCATCCAATTCCTTCAGCCCATTTCGCCTCTCCCGTCCATCCCCTAGCCCTTCAAGCCATGCGATCATTTTCTGCCTCTCTTGCCTTCTCTGCCACAACCCCCAGCCCCCAATCAAAGAGAATTGAGAAACCGTCTTCTTGCACAAGAGCAGCTACTGTCTAAATGCTTTTTGATCGTCTGCATGGAGGGGAAACTGGGCACAGCCCTGGCCCCAGTGACGGAGCCAAGCAACTCAGGCTGGCCAAACTCGCCCTCACCCACCTCGGTGCCCCTCTGGCCCAGGCGATTTAGAATTTTTCAGAACATACCGTCTGTCTCTATCCTTCTCTCGGTGATGTCAAGCCTGGTACCACCAAGAAGAAAGGAGGGAAAGTAGGAGCCTTATCTCTCTCCTACGCACGTAACCTCTTCCTCCAGCTCCCACACGCCCGGCGTTATGTAAACGCACCTTCAGCCCCCACCACAGCCCTACCGCGGCCCGGGGGCTCCGGGGCCTGGCACAGCTCCTTGCCCGAAGATAAGGAGGCACGGGGAGGCCAAGTAGCTGAGGCCCTGCAGAAGCCAGGGAAGGGAAAAGCAACTGCAAGTCAATTGCACAGCGTAAAATGCGGCAGCGGAGCAAAGGTCAGACGGCTAGGAACCGCCTCGCCAAGGAGAGGGAGCATAAATGCCCAGTCCTGGGCCGGCCCCACGGTGACCATCGAGGGGGAGGTAGAAGGGAAGGAAAACTAGTCCGTCACGATTCCGAAGGGGACTGAAAAATCTACGTCGAGCATAGGCCGCTGCGGCGAGCTGGGGAGATCTATGGCAGAAGCTGGCACCGTGGGCACGAAGCCTGGGGATAGGCGAGCCGCCCAGAGAGAGGGCGCCCCCCAGACCCAAGCGGTGGCTCCAGACCAACCCCAGAGGCGCCCGTTTCGGCGCCCGAGGCAGGAGGTGGCAAGAGAAGGAAAGAAGCCAGGCCAGAGGCAAACTCCCGGGACACGCACAGGGCTTCCCGAGTCGCAGAGGGCGGGGAAGCTAGGCTTGGCAATGCACGGGGGTCGGAAACGGCGGTGCCAGGCTGTGAACAACCCCGGCGCCGTGCCGGCCCGGCCGAGGGAGTCAGGGAACTGCGGCGCACCGCAGAGACTCAAGGAGGCGCAGGCAGAGAGAACGAACACTGAGGCGCGCCTAGAAATAGCGCACCATTGCCCCAGCCGGAGGGGGAGTAGCGTCCCGCCTCAGTGGGGGACAGTTTAGGATCCCAAAACCGGCCATGGACTTACTTTGAGGAGCCGCAGAGTCACAAGCATCGCTCCACGTCTGTGTAAATCCCCGAACCAGAGCGGGTCAGCTGCCGCTGTACTCGCAGACGCCGGTCGGAGAAACCGGCAAGGCTCCCTGCGCCCCGCAGCGCCAGCTCCGCGCTGTCAGCTCAGCCCACTGCCTCCTCGGCGATGTTGCAACCACTGCCTGGGAAAATGGCTTTTTTATGAATGGGAGGGCAGGGAGCTCCAGTGCGCACGCGCCTCGTTCGCGATTCTATGAATGGGTGGGCGCAAGAGCCCCCGTGTGCGCATGCGCTGCGATCCTTTTTTATGAATGGGGGGCCGGAGAGGAACTTAACCCGTGATTGCTGGGGCTGGCTCACGCTCCTCTATGGGCCGTAGTTCTTTTATAAAGAGGGGTGGAGGTTCGGGTGGAGGCTGTTCTTGCCTTTTTTTTTTTTTAATGAATGGGACAGGAACCGTCAGTGTCTCTGGGGGGCGGGGGGCGCTTAGGCCTCCGGATCCAGGGCTGAGAGAGGGGTGGGGGAAGGACACACCTATATCTGGGGATCTCTACCCGCCGCAGGCAGTCAAAGGGTGGGTGAGGGGGAGTGGGAAGACCCCTGCCGGGGACCTTTCTCGAGACTAGTGGCGCCTAGGGGCGTCGGGGTGGGGGGGGAGGAGGGATCTTGAAGCTGCGTTTACCAAAAATTAAGATGTTCACCGTTCACATTAAAGAAAGGTGGAGGGCAGCTGCTGAATCTGGCTCCTTTCCAAAGGCTGAGTCTCGTGAGTGCGGACCACCCCTCCCCCCACTTACAGGGTGTGGACAGTAAGAGTGCCGAGGCCTCTTCCGGCTCCAGCACCCCCCGGGGCGATTCTGGCAACTCAGCGGGAGGAGGCCAAGCCCTTGCCTCCCAGCGCCCCTCCCCATCCTCCCCAGTGTACCGTCCGCAGTGCCCAGGCGTTCGGCCGCCCTGGCTAGGTGCCCCTCGCTACCCTCGTCCATTTCCCAGCCTTCACTGGACGCTGGCCCAAGGAGCATCTTAAACCAAAGGCCCGCGGCCCTTTGCTGCGGTAGGAGCCTTTCCCCAGCACCCCAGCCCCAGCCCCACCCCACATCACCTCCCGCCGCCAGCTCCCCTCGGGGGAAGCGGGAGCGGCCGAGAACTGGCCAGGTGGATGGGTGGAGCCGGCTGCCCCAAGGATGCTGCCGGGGTGGCTGCGGGATTAAATAACAACAGGGTTCTTGAGCGGTGGAGGAAATGGAAATGGCCGGGGATCCTTTCTTTACAGTTAATGATGGGGAGTGGGGGAGGATCAGCCCAAGCCCATGAAAAGAAAAGCCCCTGCCTCTAGGCCTGACTCCCGGAAGGCGAGGAGCCCTGGTTGCAGGCCCAGCCCCTCCCAGGAACGGAGGAAGCTGTGGCCTCGGGCGAGCCCAGTGGCTTTGATGCATTGGTGGCAAAATCAGGATCTGAGTCCCCAGGAAGGTCGTTTTGCCGGTGTTCTGGCTTCCCCAAGAGCTTGTGAGGATGTCCTTTTCTTCCTACGCCACCATAGGGCTGCGCTTGGCTGTTGTCAGAGGAACTGGTGTCACAGGGTTGAGGTGTGGTGTTCGGCTGGGGCTGGCGCTCCATGGACTGGCAGCCCAGAGAAGAGCCCAAGGTCACCGAGTCCTAGTCTAGAAGCCTTCGCACCACCGACTCACCTCAGTGTGATGACTTCCCCAGCTCCCGGTGGCAGAACAGACCCAGACCCTCCCCTAGGGGACCTCAGCCTTCCTTTCAAGGGCCAAGATCTCCCTCTACATCTGAGGGAAAACTTCACCAGGACAATGGGAGATATTTATCACTGTTGAGGACTTTAAGGGGTATAGAAGTTCTATATCATATCGTCCTATTCATCTGTCTGATGTCAATGGAAACCCAGGGTCCTGTACCTGGTAAATGGAAGAACTAGAAATTGCAGTGCTGATTTTCTAGGTCTTTGCAACCCAGTTCTGTCTATGCTGCTACAATCTCTCAGCACCTCAGACCTAAGACCTGTTTTTTGCATGTTATTTAAGCACGTTAAGCAACGAAAGATGAAGCAGTAATTTTCCAGCCGCTGTTCACCCATGGTCCTTGCTCAGCTACAAGGAGGGGAATACATAAATCCTTTTAAAACTACGGTAGAAAAGAAGGATGGGAGGGGGTCGCTGTCGCCTTACTTCCTTTATTAGAGGAATTAGGCTAGAGACAGGGATCCATTTCATGGTCTTTTTCTCCGCTTTTCTGAGGGAGGAGATAGGGGACTCCAGCCCCCGGTGGTGAGGAGGAGGTCCCGGTCTTGAGTGGGGAGAGGCTTCTAGTGCCCGCATGCAGTGCGATTCAGTGTCTGGGGGGGGGCACTGGAAGCCATCTTCTGGTCCTGCTTAGAACCTAAACAGGAAAGGTGTGGGGCAGCAGTGATGAGAAATGTGTTCATCAGTTCTGTGCTGGGGCCTGCCCTGACTCTGGGGACTCAGCGTTGACGCAGAGCTCTCCCTGCCCTTGTGAAGCTCACAGTCTTTTGAGGAGACAGACAATGCTGTCTGAGGCCATAAAAAGTGCCAGGAGGGGAAAAGTACGCATGCTCAGAGGCGTAGGTTGAGGGAGGAGACGACCGAGAAGGACCTGATTTTGATTTGGGAATGGAGGCATCTCTCTCTCAGAGGGGGCAGTGGTTGTGAGTTGAGACCTGAAGGCTGAGAAGTAAGCCTGAGGGAGAGTTGAAGAGACATCTATGGGTGGAGGCCCTATGTGGGGACTAGCCTGTGGAGGTGACAGGGGTAGGGCTCTGGCCGCAGCCTCATGAGCAAGGGAGAAGTGAGCTTGTGAGCTCAGGGATCATCCTGTTACGGGCTGTAAGCAGGATGTGATACGTTCTGTTTTGTGTTTTAAACCTCTCCAGCAGCCCTGGGACTAAGGAGTGAGAGGTGAGGGGACAGAATGAAAGGCAGCAGGAAATCCAAAACATTTACCTCTTAGCAGGTTCAAGACACCACGTTCATTTTTGTAGATAGGGTGGTTGGTGGAGCTGTGTGGGGATTTTTTTTTTTTTTACATCAGCTGACTGTTCATTCCAAAGCTGCTCCGTGTTTTCCCGAGGTACACCTCGTCTGCTAGAGGCACATCCAAACAGCCTGGCACTCCTACCCATGCTCCTGATAGTGTTTTTACCCTAACCCCCAAACCGATCATAGCCAGGGAGTACAGTGGGCTCAGTTCTGGGCTTGGTCCTTTCCTTATGCTCCTGACCTTGCCCAGACCTGGTTATGAGTGAGGGGCGAGGGGAGGTAGGAATTCCAATTCAGTGACAGGCATTTATGGAGCACTTGTGCCAGTCCTGTACTCTGCATGTTTTCCTATATAATGTTGCTTTAGAGAGCTGTGTCCCAGAAACCAGCAGATGGTGTAATGGTTACATCGCTGGACTCCCACATAGTAACCATGGTTCAAGTCCTGGACCCGGCAGCATAAAACTCATGCCAGGTGCATGCGCGTGCGAGCCCAAAATCCCGAGAGGAGAATGGAGGAGAAGGGGTTGCGGCATGGACATCCCCCTGGGGGTGATTTCTCGCTTTCTGTCTCTCTGTCTCTGTCTTTCTGGCAAGCGCATGTTCCCTATAGCAAAAATCTCTCAAAAAGAAAAGAAAGGAAAGCTGTGTCTTGATCTTATCATCCCTCTTTTTCAAACAAGAAGTCTTAGGCTTTATTTTATTTATTTACTTATTTTTAAAAGATATATACTTCCTACGTATCAGGCATAGTGCCAGGTATTGAGGTTCCAGAGATAAAAAGAACAGGCACTAGTTTTGCCTTTATTGAGCTTACAGTCAGTGATAATGCCACGGAGAGGAAGCAGAGAGGTAGGGGTGGGATGTGCTTTCCTGCTACAATCTTATCAGCACCCTCATTCACTTCTGTGTTCCGTTGGCACTTCTTAACGTTATATCCAGTGCTACACAATGGAAGCAAAACCCTCAGAGTCAGATTACCTGCCCCCATCTAAACAGAAATTCTGGAACTGCTACTGTTTACAGTCAAGTAGAGGAGATAGACATTAAACAAATAGTTGATCAAGGACTGATTTAATTAGTTACCATCAGTGGTGCATGGGAACTACGGAATGGAGCTACTGGGAACTACAGAGCAGAGGAGGGGGGCACAGCCTGGGGGTCCTGAGAAGTCTCCCTGGAGCTCAGATTTGTGGAATACAGACTCAGCCAGGCTGAGTGGGAGGAAGAAGCCCTGGGGAGTGCTACAGGCAAGGATAGGCAGGGGACCTTCGTCCTCTGAAGAAAAGCCAGTGTGTCAGAGGCAGAGGTTAGAACCGCCTAAGCTTTCTGGCTCAGTGTGTTCAGCTGTTTCAGCTGGGGGCCTTGAGAGCTTTGCACACAGGTGTGCAGACATCGACCACAGATTGGTGGGCTTAATGAGACCCTTACAAGCTCTGCAGTTTGGGACAAATTATTCAACTTTCATGTGCCTCAGTTTCTTCCTCTGTTATGTGAAAAAAATAGTAATGCTTACCACAAAGGGTGGAGTAAATTCGAATGGGGGTGATAGATGTAAGACGCTTATTCAATAATACCTAACCTTATTCAATAATACTAACCTGTTGAACCTGTCCTATGGCTTGCTGGTTAGGGAAGACAGATCCCGTATGGCCCACGACACGGTTTGAACCCAGCCCTGGCAGCTTAAAATACATGCTGGGTACGTGCAGGTGCATGCTCCAAATCCCAGCGAGACAGAAATGGAAGAGAAGGGATTGCAGCATCACCACGCCCCATTTCAGGGTACCTTCTGTGTCTCTCTCTCTGGCAAGTGCAGGCAACCTCTGGCAAAAAGGGGGAAGAAAACACTGCCTGACATAGTGTAGGTGCCAAATACACACTGGTTGATTATTTCACAGATGCAGCTGTTTTGATGCAAGGAATGAGTTTGAATTTTTTCCTAAGTTTTTTTCCTCCATTCATGTGTGAGAGAGAAGAGGTATCTCCCCCCCCCCCAGCCCCTCCCTGGGACCAACAGATGGAATAATGGTTATGTCACTGGATTCCCAAGTAGTCAGCCATGGTTCAAGTCCTGGACCAGGCGACTTAAAACTCACACTGGGCGTGTGTGTCTGCGTGCCCAAGATCCTGAGAGGAGAATGGAGGAGAAGGGATTGTGATGTAGTCATCCCCTCAGAGGGATGATTTTTTGTTTTCTGTCACTCTATCTCTCTCTCTGTTGCTCTGGTGAGCTCACGCGCCCTATAGCAAAATAATAATAATCTCAAAAAAAATAGAAAAGAGAGAGGCACCCCCAACAGGGTCTTTGTGCTGTGATCCGCCTGTCTCAGCGGCTAGGATCATGGGTACATTACTTGGTGTCTATAGGAAGACCTCGGGGCACAAACCCAGGACCTTC